CCTATGCTGGTTCAATGCATTTCGCACCGTTCCGAAACCCTATCATTCGGTTTGATTCCCCAAGATACATACGAACCAACATAGATTTCAAACGTGGTTTTAAAGTGGTGCGAATGGATGTCGCTACTAACCCCAGCACCTCGAGGAAATCATATTCATCAGGGGCCACTTTCTGGCCGTCCAGAGCCCCTAGCAGGACTGGCCCAAGTTTGACTAGGAAATCTACGCTTCCAGGGCCACACATACGCTTTCCAATATGTAAGGTAGTCTAAAGGTCTTACGGAAAACCACCCTGCTATCGCACGCGAGTCTCGGTTGCTAGACACCTGAGAAGTGAAGCACTACACAGGTACCTTATGTTTGCGGCCAGGTTAAAAACTACACATGTGACTTGTGCCAATGCAAGTTAAGCAGACCTCGTCCAGCACTTTTGGTCCATGGTGCTCAGCATAGATCCCAACACAATCAACCATCCAACACGCTGAATTTGCCAGTCCTGTAACACAACTGCCACAATCCAACACTGTTGCGTGTTTGGCGCCAAGCAAGCAAACAAGTAGTGACGTCACACCTCAAAGAAAAGAGCCTGGTGATTTTAAGAGGGAACACACCTCAAAGAAAAGAGCCCCTGTAGCCCACGTCAATCTGAACTCATCTGCACATGTATACCAACAAATTACAATATCTCTGCGTCAACGAACATAACAAAACACGGCAACACAGAAAAGGACAGTAACAACGAACAAAGCAGCGGCAACACCATGAATACAAGCAACAAGAACAACAAGAGGAACACACACACACACACACCATATTGTATATGCGCACACTCGCGCACGCACACGAGCAGCTCGGGATTATAGTACATATATAATGTATGATAAATATATATATATATATATTATTATATACATATATATCATATATACATATATATATATATATCAATAACAATTAAGCGGATAAGGGGCCACCCACACCGGAACCCAAGCTGCAAAGCCGGTAGAACAAGCACCGAGAAACAATCAAACAAAAAACAACGGGAACAACAACACAACAAAAAAACAGATGCTGACTGCTCACCTTGCGGAACTGAGCCCTGGGCTCCTCGAAGCTTCTCTTGCCCGAAGCAATGGCCTCGAAGTGCGAGGGATGGCGCGCGTGTTTCGGGCGCTCTTCTCTTGGAGCTGCTAGCCTTCGGGTTTAGAGGAAAACCAAGGGAAACACATCACATTTTCAGGGGCACTTCAAAACAAACCTATCTGATCAGGAGTCTTTTCCTTCGGGGTTGCTCTCCTAGGCTGGCAAAAAAAAGAAACTCGCTCCTGCGCCCAAGTGCTTGGCTCGGGACCAATTTCAGGTGACCCCCCCCCCCCACACAAGTACTGTGAGCCTTTCATAAAGCCGCTGCCCAAACTTCCTGTGCCAGAAACTGGCAAAACAGCTCCTGTTCGGTGTGATTCCAATTGGAACGTCAACCGGTTAACATCCGTTAACCACAATGCTGAGGAAGTAGCGCAAGTGTTTCAGCTACATCCACCCGCAAAACCTTACAAAACCTTGGCAACATGCGGAAAATTCACAGAGCTTCCAACTCTTGCCATACCTGCAGAAGTTGTGCTAACTTCAAGTGGAGACCCTTTGGTAGAAATGAATTACATGGGGATTTGGGTCCATGTACCATTCTGGACGGTGTTCTTATCATCAAACTTCATAGACATTTAGGGCATCCACCACACCGCGGACCAGGACGGAGACCTTTTGTCACAGGATCCGATGACTTTCGACATGTTCAATGCTGCCATTCAGCGCTTCATCGCACATGACATTGGATCCAAGGGCTGGTATATTGGCAAACAGCTTTGTTCTTTGCAGTTCCCCAATTCAGGAAACAGAACAAACGAAAGCAGAAGGCAACAAGAACACCCTTGTTGGGTGGGTGTTCAAGGGAAACAACAGGGACACCACGGTCTGTAGGTTCTTCGATGAGACAAACCCAAGTGCAGAACTCTCCTCGAGGGACCCGGTCCCTTGATTTTCCCTTGGGGGCCAAAAGGCGAAGGCGTCTGTACCTTGGTCGCTCAAGCGAAGTATTTCCTGCCGGGCGTACAAGTGTTTTAAGCTGGAACCAATGAATCAACCCGTTCCGATTGAAGAGGGGTCCTGACTTCTTTCGCGGGAGTTGCACTGCCCTCTGAATGTGCCAGGCTTTACATGAACCCGGGCTGATCATTGCCCCTCGCCATCTGCGGGAAAAGTAACCTGACCGGTTTGGGCACTCACCAGGTTCAAATCCGGGGTAAACTTTCAAGCCTCCGTAAAGCGACAGGTTCACCCTGCAAACGCTGGTAGGCCCCATGCGCGCAGGTAGAATACCATGCTATTGGTCCACATCTCGTGCGTCCTGGCTGCCAACCATCAGAGCGTTTGTGTCTTCGCATCCCCTGTTCAACTCCCTAAAACCAGCAAAAAACAGCTAAACTCCAAAACCACCCCAAAAACCAACGACACCACACCAAAACAAGGCCCCACTGGGTTATCGGCCTTTGCCCCTTGGGGTCAGCTGGGCTCCAAAGAAACCAACAAAGAAACAACGCCTTTTTGTTTTTTCTTCGGTAAACCAAAGACGGCACCTGGAAAAAAGAGTGCCGTCTTTGGTCTGCCGGTGCGTGATGTTTCTTTCTGGCTGTGAGTTCCGTTGTCCCGTTGCATCACCAAAGGACATGGCCAATAGAAAGGGCCAACAAGGTGACCGGATGAGCCTCCATCGTAGCAAACAATATGCCTCCGTGGTTCGATACACAACTTGACACATTTGACACGTTTTAGCGTTCTTTCCAAAACAATTGTATCAATGAAGGCTGCAGGGATATTTATGCAGGCCAGCCGCAAACAGGAACACATGCACCTGAAAACACCCCCAAAGCCAATTTGTAGTGGGGCGTTTTACAAAAAGGACACCAGCAGTACTTGGCCCATGTTCACAAATTCAGAGAACATGACTTCAAAAGCACCCATTCCTCCTGTACATCCGACCACATGTCTGGAGAAACGGCTCCCTCGCTTCGGGCGACGCGCAACTCGCGACGCGCGCGCTTCATCATGAGGCCGCCAGCAGCGCCGCTGACGACCCCGCCGAGGAGGAAATGTCTGAGGGACATAGCGCCGCGCGATTTGGGGCCTCGAGTCGAGCGACTCGCGGTGAATCCGATTGAGGCGAGTGTGTGGAGAAGGGAACTCGTCGAGGTGCAACGCAATAAAAGAAGACATCATGATGGAAAAACCGAGAGGTTGATAGTCTGCCTAGGTGGATTGTGATGATTCGCCAGTGGAAAGTAAAGGGCTAGAAAAGGAACCTTCATCAACGACTCTATTTTACCCAGACTTGTTTCCAGAACTATATACGTAGATAGATGCTGGTGTGGGAAGGCACATGTTCCCACTGGAAAGGCTTTTGCGTGACCTGTGGCCTCCCAGGAGCTTTTACGCGCTGGCTGTCAAACTGGATCTGTTTGCTGGGCTCTGCGAGACCGAGGGCAGATCATGCGGCGCAGGTGAAGTCTGTCAATCCAATTCGGAAGATGTCATCACAGGGCAGGATGAACCAAGCCGCCCAAAGTAAAACAAGGCTTGAGCCGGGATTGGGGCCCTCAAACCGAAAGGGAGGGTGTCTAAGAGACTGCAAATTCCAGCACGGGACGGTATGGGGGCAGACTTCAACTACCCAAGTGAGGGTCAACTCACAGGTCCTATCCCGCGAAAATAGGAAGGCTTTGGAGAATCAAAGGCGCGCAGCCATTTCAGAGGGTTTTTAATGTGGAGACAAACCCGCATTGTAACTCTTGAGCGGATACTCGTCATCACTTCTTGGGCCAATCTCAAATGTGAACCTCTGAGTAAATCAGGCGGGATGTAGGCAAAGTTGCAAACAAGCAAGCACCCCGCGGGCACAAGGAGTCTCTGTTAAGGACACACTGCATGTAAATGTAAACAAATACACTGTATTCTGCATACTGTATGTATATGTATATACATATATATATATATAAAGAAAAATAATAATATCAGCCATGCAAGCACACAACATATATGATGAGAAAACATGTGCAGCATGTCTCTACAAGCTGGTGTTGGGCCAAAGCTCCCAAAATGCCTTCACTATCATTTTGCTAGCGTCTATCAGCTCAGAAACGTCGCCTCAGCCAAACCCAACAGTGGCCATCAAAACAAATGTTCAATTCAAAGAACCTGTGTCGGCATTTGGAGAGCTAAAGGGAACCCCCCCCCCAAAAAAAACCACAGAAAACCGGAAGCGCCATTGGTGTCTGGTTAGCACCGGCCCGCGACTGAGACCGCCGCGGCTGGCTCACATCTCAGCTTTCTAGCGCTTGAGACTTGAACGCAGCGGCATACCGGACGCGGACGACTCGGCGCGGACTTGGAGGTCTACGATAGATTCTAGGGCTGATTCCCAGCGTCACTGAACAAAACACTAGCACCACAACACGGAGAAACACTCGAAGACAGCTCCCTAAAAAAGAAATATATATCCATTTCAATAAAGTGAATACCAAACAAAAACATACCAGTACGATTGGGGAGTTCGATTGAAACCTTCGTGGCGCCAAAGGTTGGAAATGGTGTCAAACATGTGAACAAGTTCTTCCGGTTTCCTCGAGGGACTAAAGCCCAACATTAGCATGTGGACCCCAAAGGTTCAAAAGCCTCGAGTCAGATGCCCACCACCCAGGCTGCCAAATTGACCCAGTGCCGCCGCTGTTTGCCGTGTTTGCGTCTGGCTCCCCTTTAGAATCAATGGGGGCACGGCCGGGCCACTTTCCACGCGAAAGCACTTGGCAAGTAGTGTGATTCAAGAAGGGGGCGTCGTTTTGGGTGAAGTTTATGGGAACCCCGGATAGGGGGCACCCCGCTATTACTAGGATGGGTTTATTGATCTGGGGTCAACATTTTGCGGATGCCATAAGCGCTCGCAGCAAACTTGGCACATGACCCGCCCACTGCCACTGCCGTGGGTCGATTCCCTTTTCACCGGCGACGCGGGCACAAACAGCGGAGGGTGCCGGAGATAAGCCGACACCTGCACGCACCGGGTGCGAGAGGAAATGTTGCTAAGAAACAAACAAAGCAGGGGATCACGAAACCGAAACACTTGATGTTTGAATTCTGGTCCACTGTGCCTTCAAATGAGGAAGACCACACTAAGAGTAAGTTCAACAGAAAAACAGTCACGCTCGCACTACTTTACTGCATCCTAATTCAAATTTAGCCATTTGTTTGCTTGTGTTGCTTTGCTTTGCTTTGCTTTGCGTTGCGTTGCTTTGCTTTGCTTGCTCGCTGTCTCGCTTGTAACCGCTGCTGGAGTTTTGTTCCCTATGAGGGATTCACTATTGCTTGTTTGCTCGCTTGCTTGCCTGCCTGCCTGCAGGGGCTTGGTTCGTGGCTCGCTGCTTCCATAGTCGTATTTCAGTTCGGTTCGGTCCAATTCATGTCGAGTTGCGTGTTTTGATTGCGTGTTTGTTAGTGTCCCATTTACCCTCTGCCAGAACCAGGGGCTGGACTCCATGATGGAGGTGTCATGGTTGATCAGTGCCCATGTCAGGGGTCCATCAAGGAAACTAGTCCAGCCAAGCTCAGCGGCATTTACTTTATCCTCACAAGGTACTTGAAGCAACCGTGTCTTTGTGTTTTCCCCGCTGGTTAATCCAAGCAGATCGCTCCACTACCATTGGGCTATGCAGGTGAAATCAAACTTGTGAGCAGGCTGCTGAAATGCCGAAATAAAGGCTTCGCCTCCTGGCATACAACTATATCCATTTGCCATACTTTAGACTATTGAGTTCCCTAAGCCAAAGGAACATCAACATATGAGGCAAACCCAGTGGCCCAAAGGACCTGGGACCAAAAGGTCCACCTTGTGGGGCCATGACTATAGATATGGTAAAACCAAAATGGTAAAACCAAAATGACTAAATATGGACCATCATTTCAGGCCGACTCGCTTTGAACTCCTCTCTCCGATCGCCTTCCGCAGGTCCGGCGATGATCAGACACCTCGGAGCTCACGGGTCAGCGCAGTGGGTTTGGGCCTAAGTCGCCTAAGTGCTGCATGGGTCTGGAAACAAACAAATCTCCTTAAGCCTTAATTGCCTTAATTGTTGTTCTTTTGTTTTTTTGAAAGTCACACATGTATGGGAGATTTATCATTGAACCTGCCTAAGTGAGTCATGATCAAAACGGATCGCTGCTAAAATGGTCTACCCAGAACCATGACGAGTGAAAAGGCGGCGAACGCACCCATTTATGGTTGGGATTATTCTTATTTTTTAGCTACGCGGGTTTTGATTGTGGCTCAAGTGTTGCTAGAGTCTGCACCACCTTTCTGTTTTTTGGGGAGCTCTTGGCCGCTTTCCTTGGTCTAACACCCTCTTCAGGGGCCCCAATGTCGGTTGGTTTCAGTGGTGCCTTTTCAAAAGATGCCCAAAACACCCTTCACATAGCCAAAGCTTGCTTGGCCGTTGTTTGAAGTCTTGTTGACCCCTGCAAAAAGCTGAACTTTTCGTGGGTCCAATTCGGACAATCCCAGCTGTTGAAGTCCAAAGATCAGATCCGACACCCAAATAGCACAGGAAACTTGCTACCTCCGTCGGCCCGCTTGGGGGTGATGCTTCGGGCTGTTGGGGCACCTTCAGTTGCCACTCCTGCCCCTCTAAGACGGTTGTCAGCCCAGAAGTTGTGTGGCCTGCCAACCCGCACCAAAATACCTGCGCTGTGTGTCGTTAGCGAGGGCACCCGTTTTGGGTTTGTGTTCAATACAAATTGAAGGGACGCCGCCCCTGTTTATCCTTGTTGTTGTTGTTTTTTTTTGGGGGGGGTACAACACAAGCAGACCCTAAGTGTTGCTGCACGTCGCTGGGGCTCGCACATCGGACATGGATGTGGAAACGCCTCGGCATCGGGAGCAACACACATGCCGGCTGCCTGTTCTGCGGCTGATTCATAATTCGTCTCTAAAACACACGTGCAACATCGTGCACTACCTTGCAAACAAACTAACCAAGCCAAGCATTTGTGGGTTCATTGCAAAAAGGGAGGTACTCTGCTGGTTAACATGTGGCCATGGGTCAAAACCCCGTACCTTGAGTGAACATCCCAATCCCCACTAAAATAGGTTCTAAAATGGGTGGTGCACCTACCCCAAAATGGTACCATTGGTTTTGACCCCCAGCCATGTCACCTAAAGGCCCATTGTCTTTAGAGGAACCTTTTCTTGAGGGATCACCTTTGTAGGTTCCATGCTGATTTGCGGGTTCAAGCCATGTGGTACTCATCGAACCGGGGGTCCGGGCAGAACAGCTTTTTGCCTCGCCTTTTGTAGAGGGGGTCCTCACATGTTGCAAGGGGTCCAAATGGCTCAAGATGAGCGAATCACCCCAAATGGGGTGGGTGGTTCTCTGAATTGCCTTCTTGATCCACGAAAAAAGGATCCTCCACTCCAAATAGCAAGCCTCATCTCAAGACAACCAGAGGTCAAACCGCCAAGTGAGCGGTACCTCCAGCAAGACCATTCCGAAACGATGGACCCTCTACATGGACCTTCGCCGCTGTTGACTGACTCCTTAATTTGGATGTAGTTAGTACTCCACAAGGACCACATCACAAGCGACACGATGACTGCAAGGCAAAAGTGATGAATGTGCTTCAAGAAAGCAACGCGTTATCAGTTGTCGCTTACCCCAGTACATCTCTCACTTGGTAGACTCAGTATACCCGACCCTAAAAATCCTCGTGGCTATACTTACGACCAGTAACCCTATGTCAACCCCAGGTAGGACAAGACCCCCTAGCCTTCGGACACCCAGCGGAACCCCCAAAATTGACTTCGCTTCAATCCAGCCAAAAAGGAACCGGTTCCCCCCCCAAAAAAAAAAGGCCAACCAACCAACCAGCCAGGGAACCAAGGCCTAAAACCCATCTCCAAAAAGACGCTCCGTTGCCTTCAGCCTTTGGGGCCCCCGACAAGCATCCATATCGGCGCGGATGGCGCCATCCGGGCCAACGGTGCACAGCGCAGGCCGCAGCGCTCTCACCGTCTGACCTGCCGCGTCGGCAACGCGCCCGAGGTTGCCATGGAGGCCCCTTGCGTAGCTGGTTTCCCTAACGCAACTAGGCATGATGAGCTTACCCATGGGGGGTGGTTTCCATAGCACCTGGTGTTGGTTTCCATAACCGAGCCATGGTTCTATGATGAACTTCCCAGAAGGGGCTCACACCGGCGGTTTAAATTAACCCCCCCAGAAAACACGGATTAATATGCAAAAGCAACGTCTTGGGATCACTGGCCATGTATTCAAGTCCACAACTCCGTCAGCATAGGGTCACCAGTTCCAAGGGTTCACGCAATTCCCTCTCTGAATGAGACAAGGGGTATGTCGCCAACCAGCGAAAAGCACTGATGTTTTTTTTCTTGAGTCAAGGAAACCCATTCCAACAAGCTCCCCGCATCACGTGATCTCCGGGGCTCCACACGGCGGGCGCAGCCGCAAAGCCGGCCCCACCACTGGAAGCCCAACAGCCCTCCAAAGGCCGCGTTCGAGTTGGCCACCAGCGAGAACCTCAGCTCGCAACAGCGCGCGCGCGCTGAAAGGGGCCTTGGTGTCATTTGGACTTGTCTGTAAGGTTGGAGCCACCTAAAGGTTTTCCTTTGAAACCACAAAAAGGGGGGACCAACTCAAAACAAACCACACGCACTTGGGATCAATAAACAGCACTCCACCTGTGGGTCGTGGTCCTGGCTCCCGTTTGGAACACTCAGAATGGGTGTCTAAAAGGCCGAAGAGGTTGATCCACCGCAGCAAGGGGGAGGTTTGACAACGCGAGCACCCCCATGTCCGCCCAAACTGGACAGACTTTCAGGGTCTGTTGACTGAACCTCAAATGAGGTCAGCTGAGATCCCGACCTACCAGAGACTCAAACATTGGAACCCCGCACCAGCCAAATGACCACCACTTGGGGTCCGGTGGTTTCAAGCTTTGGGGAGGTGCCGGACCATGCTGCAAATCCCTACCAGCAATTCAGGATACTTTGGTAAAGCAGGCGCTTACAAACCTTCATCGTCCCCCCTTCATCTTGACAAAATATGGGTGATCTAGAGCAAAGCAAAGTCTGAACGCCAAGTGCAATTTCTCAGATTTCATAGTTGGCCGAATGAGAACTTTTGACTCATTGACCCGCACCAATCCTTCATCCGTCCTTTTGGCAATGGGGATGTGTTTCCGTAACCCCTCGAGGTTTGCATTCTGCGCCAAAGGTCATATGGGCACACAGATCATCTAGGCCCTGCTATCCCCTGCAGATTCACATGAACCCGTTGAGAGGAATCTCTTTTGAGGGCTCCATTTGAATTTGCGGCTGAGTCATGCCTGTCCAACCAGGAAAATTGAACTCCTTGGGAAAGGGCCACCCTTGCCTGACTTGGGGCCCTCTACAGCCACTGCATAAAGGCTTTCTAACTCCCTCCGTGCTTCCCCCTCAAGATGGCGTGGGTTGAGGTTGGCCAGCCACAGGCTTTGTGATTCCCTCCTCAAGTCTTGGGAGGGTTGTAGATCTCAGATGGGCCCAAGAAAGCAAAGCACGCCTGTCCAGTGCTGATGGGGATGTGCATTCCGATTCGGGGGTCCTTTGGTGGACATCATTCAAACGGGGGCTTGTGTCCAGCCACCGGTTGGGAGCCATAGCGAGGGAAGCCATGGGAATGTTGAAACACTTCCTTCCCATTTTACCTCCGAGGAGCAAATGCCGACTTTCGCACAACCGGAAGTGTCAACAAGGCATCCACCCGGGAAGTGTGCGTTGACAAGCATCCATACATAAAACGCAGGGGCAAAACAAACAAAAACATCCACCAACTGGAATTGAACACACCAGTTGCGCAAGGTGAGCTCGTTTCACCCCCAGAGCTGGTCATAATTTGTAAAGGATACCATGTATCACTGAAAAGCCGTCTGGAAACACGCGCTCAGCCAAGGCACACGTTCCGGCGTACCTGTGCGCGTGGTGTCTGCTTGAAGGCAAATGTCTGATTTTCCAGGGTCCAGAAGCCTGGGGTAACTGGTCGGACAGTGCCCGTGGCAGACCAAATCGGAAAGCCAAGAAAGAGCTTTCGCAGGTTTCCCGACCCTTGCTGTGATCTGCCCACACTGACTGTAAGCTTGAGAAAATCGTGTTGATGCGCTTTTTGTGGATTCAGATATGGATTCCACCTGACCCGAGAACACAACCAAAGCGTTACATTTTCCACAACACCCCCCCCCCCCACAACCAAAGCCTTGGGGCTGGCTACATCCAGGAGCATCCAACTTCCTGATCTGTTGGGTTGCTCAAAATGTGGTTATCCCTCATCTAAATGTGGATTGAGTGTTGAACCACCCATACATATATTGTTCATTTGAATAGCAGGCCCTTTCGTGGACATGATTGCATGGGTATGTTCATCAACTATTTGGAAGAATGCAGTTTGAAGCCAGTACATACGGGGCTGTATGCAAAAAACTGGAACCCCCAACAAGCACATGAGCAGGCCCTGTCAACAAGTTGGTATTGATTCCCATTACCCAAAAAAAACACATTTGAACCTTTACCACTTTGGGTCCGAACCCCCCAAAACCGCCTGAAGTCCAGGAAGCCAGAGGCAGTCCCCCAGAGACTCGGAGCACGCCCCGCGCACACCCCGCCCGGAGGCGCCTGCGGCAGGTAGGCCCGGGACAGCCCGTCCAGCACCGAGGAGGCGGAACCCACCAGCGCGGGGCCCGCGCCTGCGACAGTTTGTCAGGGCCCCCGAGCGGTCGACCGGTGACCTGGGTGGGTGGGCGGGTGGGCGGGTGGGTGGGAAGGTTCAAAAAGGGACGCGGAGGCTCGGTAAGCCCAAGTGACAGTTGAATGAAGTCACATGGTATGTGGGAATGGGTCAAAATTGAACCAGCAGAATATGGACGGCAGGTTTCAGTCCATGCTTCCATTTACCAGGATTCCAGGTTGCGTATACGCCAATCTTTGCGCCACACCCAGAGGGGTATGAATTTTAAGTAGGGTGGACATCACTTAGGTGGACATTTATGTCCACCAACCACTTTTCAGGGGGTTCCCCATTAAAATTCAGAGCCATATGGCCATGGGTCAAAACCCTGTACCCCAGTGAACATCAACCAATCCAACCACTAAAATAGGTTCTAAAATGGGTGGTGAATTCACCTACCCCAAAAGGTACCATGGGTTTCCGACCCACAGCCATGTGCACGTCTCACGCCCGGTCTGTGGAAGACACCCTTTGAAGACGAGTCACCGACCAGCCACGGCTGCGGCGCCACTCGCACCTGGCAGCTCGCATTGCGATGGCTCGTCTTTTTGGAGTCGGTACATGTCGGTAGTCCTTTTTTTGCCGGTTCTGAAGAGAAAAGGCACAAAGCTTTAGAAGGGGTTTGTCTCAAGGGAACCCCCCCCCCCGGAAAAAGAAAAGAAAAGTAATTGAGGTTTCTCTTTAGACAGTTCCACGAAGAAAAAGAAGGAACGGGTACCCTCCAGAACAGACAGAAACATACCTGGATCCGGTGCTTGAAGCATGCCCAGGGCTTCGGTTTTCATGAGAGTCTTCCACCCCTTTCCCCCAAGCTTGTCTTTTTTGCCACCATTTTGGGAAAGACATGGAGACATGGCACACCTTTGTTAGAAGATCGCTATTCTGTGAGCAGCCCTGAGAGGGGTGTCCTTGCGCTGACCTCCGAAACAAACAAGGACACATCTTAAAGGAAAACTGGTACTTCGACAGGAAGCTAACAAACCCTAAGCCAACAGCAAGCAAACCCCCGTAAACCAACCCTGAACCCAAAGTAACCCCAAAACCCTAAACCAACCACAAGCTCACCGAGAACGATTCTTCTTGTTCCTTTGGTCATGTACATGGAGGTATGAAACAACCCCGTCCTCGTGGCTTCGCTGTGGTTTGCTTTAGGGGCAAGTGAAGAAGAAACCTTTGGATGGAGCAACTGGTCTTTCTACAGAAAGCTAGCTAAATCGTGGAACCTGGCATTTGTTTTTTCGTGGGCATTTGGTAAAACTCAGGAAGTGCACCATGCTACAGCTCTGGGAAAGCACGACATCGAAACATGGAGAACCTCGTTCGCACGTTTAAGCATCTGGTGTTCATACTGTTGTTCTGGTCCTTGTACGTTGGACCTGTCCTATTCAATACAATTCACAAAGCATAAACATGGACGCTGGTGAATAGCAGAGATTTGTTCTTGGTATTTTGTCAACACGTCCCAGCTTCTGCTCGATATAGATGACATGCATATATACACCCACACACCACACATAAAGTGACATTCTGGGCACTATTCATCGTTCCCTTCCTGATTCCATCTTTGAGGTATTTGGTTGGACACACCCTTGATAACATAAGATACTAGCAGGAAACAAGAACACAACAAGAAACAAGCACAAACGGATTGCCAAGCAAACAACCATCAGCGCAATGATCACCAGATGAATGTAACAATAGGGGAAACCAACAACATCGCAAACACCCAGGACAGCACAAGCACACACACACAACTCACACATGGACATAGTATAGTGCAACAGCCGCAAACAAGCGAAGCAATAAATAACACAAAACACAACAGACACCAATACAAACACAACACACCGACACACCCACACACTCACACGAAACACAAGAACAAACCTACCAACAAAAACGCAACCGAACCACGCCGCCAACCGCCAAGCGCCAAGTGCCAACAAACGAGAACCACACAACTGAAACCAATCAACAGGAAACACACACACACAACAATCACGCCCACAACAGAACACCAACTTCTAAACCCCCAGGAGGTCCAAAACTCGATGTCACGACCTCCTCCGCCAAAACGCGGCGCTCGACTCGACTCGCCGACAAGCCGACGCCCACGCCGCACGTAGCGCGCGACTCGCTCGCCTTGGCGCCCTCGATGAGGAGGGTCTCGGTGCCGAGGCCCATGAGCTCCAAGGCGCTGCGGAGCATCTGCGGCAGGAAGGTGGCCTCGCTCGGGCGCGGGTCGCTTTGGGCGGTCGCTTTGGGCGGTCTGGGCCTGGGGCGGGGGGGCGGAGGACAAACAAGAGCAAAGGCAAGGGAAGTTAAAGAACCAAAAGGGAGAAAAGGCCAGAAAACGGAAGAAACACCACAATCAACACTTTGTGTAAGTGGATTTACCCAGGGGAGTCTTCTGGATTCTCAGGGAATCATCAAGGGATTTGGGAACAAAGCAAGAGAAAAAACACAGTGCAAAGCAATGCTTAGATAGGGCCCACGAGCTTGACCGTGTTGGCTTGTCAAACTCAGTTCTTCTCTTGTTTTCTTTGGGCGGGGGGGGGGGGAGGGGAGGTTCAGTTGCTGTACCATGCTCTTCGGCATGCATTTAAAGATGGGGTACCCTTCCAAAGCCGCGGTGACTTCTCTGGTCTCCCGTTCAACCGGCCCAAGGGATCCACAGTCCACCGACTCCGCCGAAAGGATCCAACCTGGCCTCCGGCAGGTACAGGGAGCACCACACCTTGAGGTTCACCGCCTGCCCCATCCAAATGCGCAGGCGGGGATTCTTTCCCCCAGAAGTACTTGGAGCACTTTCCTTGCTGATTCGATGGGGTAGTATTTCAGGGGCCCTTTGGTCAACCACTGTCAACTTCTGGGGACTTGGGGACACAGTTATGTACACGTAACAGTTGAAAGAATCAAAATCAACCACTAGACAATCATTTGGTTGGACCTCCAACAAACATCGGTTGCTTTCTGCTCCCCTGCTATAAGTTTAACTTTTGGTGGATGCATGGAAAACCCATTAGTGGGCAAAAAGTTAAAGTCCTAACATCCAAGCAAAATGCAACAAAGAAACGTGGTGCACGTAGGGAGCCCTTTGGGTAGCCTCCTTTTCACCTACGCGCCTCAACGCTGAACCGCTCCAGCAGCAGTCGGTGCTGCGGCGCCGGCGGCGCTGGCAACACCTGGCCCCCCGCGTTCCCGCGGGCCCTCGGGCGAACAAAAGGGCGCCGCGAAGGGGACACAGGGTGCAAAGTGAATCGATGTACAAAGCAAAGTGGGGGGGAGGGCTAATCAACCCCAGTTTGTAAATAGGGGTGTGCTTTTGTTCGGGGTTAAGCGGAGAATCAACTCACTTTCGGAGGGGCCCACACCCCGCTATTACCGAGCTGTGGTTGAAAATGGGGTCAACATTACCCCCACAAACAAAGCAACACGCATTTTCTCCACCAATTTTCAAAGCACATGTTCCCCCAGAAATAAAACAAATACAGTATCCCCCACAACAAAAACATGCTCCCCCATCCACATGGGTTCCTATGGGGTCCACAAATTCTATATCCCTCTCTGTAAGGATCCCACCGCTTCCGCTTCCGAAGGCGAAGCTTCGAAGGTTCGAGGCGCGGCCGGCGGCCGCCTGCTGCCGCGCCCGCAGCTCCTCCAGGTGGAGTCCGCGGAGGCTGGGGGCCTGGAACCGGCCCAGCTCCTGGCCAGCGAGTCACCCGACCCGAAAAATCCCAGCCAGAGGTGCCAAGTTGTTGGACAGCCGGGCCAAATACCAGCAAGTTCCTGTAGAACTTCCTGGTTTGCTGGTTTCCTGGGACTTGGGCATTGGCCAAATGATTGCCCAGCAAAACCTAGAGCTTGGAACTTCCTGGTTTGCTGGTTTCTTAGAAGGTTCATTGCCATAGTTACCAACAGGTACTCCTCAGTTGGTGGTTCGGATTGGCGGCTTGGGAATCTGAATCCCTGGTTCTTGTAGAGAAGGGAAATTGGAAACCACCCCGTTTCACCACCAAACCAGCGGCTGACGTACAGGAAATGGTCCAAAAGACAGTCGAAACCAGCCCCTTTTCACGTCGAACGGTTCCGCCTTTTGATTGGTGGAAGGGTGCTCACTTGCGTGGATTGACCAGCAAGTAACACTGAAGTGGTCCAACCCCACAAAGTGGCAAAAGTCCAGGAACTCAGGGGAAGAAGGGGGATTTGGGGGGGGGGGGTTCTAGTCTCCTTTTTTTTTTGGTAGTACCAATTGTTTGGTGTTTTTTAAGCGAAAGTAAAAGGACCACCGAAGCCATGTTGGGGGTCCTGCAGTGTTTCAGATATTGAGGGAGGTTGATCTTCTGTTACGAAACAAATAGAGAACAACAAGGGAGTTCTTCTCTTTTCTGCTTGTACATAATCATTAAACAAGCGGTGAAACTGCGGGAATGTGCCACAACTAGGATTTGGACCCCAACAGTAGAAGAGATGAAAAGAAGGTGCCAGCTTTTGTTACTAGAACACACCATATATATTCTAGTTGTTAAACATAGGAGGAATCTACGACTGGACAAATGCACAAAATAAGTCAAGACTGCATGACCGCATACACAAATGCCGAACTGGAGGAAAACGCAGAAACCAGCTCCAGGGAATTCTACATGACATTCGCCAAATACCTACCCAAAACACGGGTTTTTGAGGGTACCCGTACCCTTTGTGGGTAAAGGGAAACCAGAGGAAGCAAAACGAGCCCATCTCTTGTGGATACGTGGGCACGAGTACCGCTCATCTTTGGCATGGTGATGTCTGCGATGAGTTCATGGCCTTCTTCATGTAGGGCTGTTGTTGAATCCATGGCTGGGACAGATCCAGCAGTAGCCGCTATTTCGGTCTAAACGTGCACTTCGCTGGTCAAGAGTCATGCGGGATTTGCATGATATGCGCACGGGAAACGACGCCGCAGTTCCGATTGCCTTAGATCAACAGCTTAGACCGTATGAATAGCAAACATATTGCCTTTTGTGGGGCCCTATGATTCCGAAAGGTTTGCCAACTGTAGTGTCCTGGTAGGCACTAACGAGGACATGGGTTCCGCACAGGAATAGAAAGCTGGCCTCTGAAAGTAAGGACCCCAATACCCTTGTGTTTTGATCTCTAAAGAACAGCGCGGAACAACCCCGCCCAACTCCTGTTTCTAAAAGTAGGTCAACAGGAAAGCCAAAAGGAAACCGGCTGACAAATGTTCTGCCCCTTGGTTGATTATCCTTTAAGAACGAACGGCTCGGACCAATCCCTGTAGGCACAAAGAACCACAAAGACAACTGACGCCTCACCGCTCAAGCAAAGTGCCGCCCGGTTTCCTGCCAAACCGCCTCGGTGATTGTCACCTGAGTCGGTTCCCGCTGGCAACACACGAGCCTATGACCTCAGTTGGTGAGTGGTTGCCAACCCTCGGACTTTGTCAAAAACTCAGTAGAACAGGCACGTTTTTAGCCCGCAAAGCTTCACCAGCTACCATGTCGGGTGGTTGTCCAAGTAAGTGGTACACCGAGGGCCTTCATTCACATCATGACCAAACATGGGGTTAACTATGATCAGGTACAAACAACGGAATTGTTTTTGAGCGCGGCGGAATAACAATGCTTGGGTGGATTACACTATGCGTTGTCTTCCGGCGTTGTGAAATTGAGGTATTACAAAAAAAACATGGGTCAAACAACAACCCACTACTCTGAACATCCAGCAGGAACAAACAGTTCACTGAAAGTGCAGGCATCAATTCAATGTCTCGAACAAATGCACATGTCGTTTTGCAAGGGGGCCAACAATCCGCTTGACAAGTCCACACCCTTAGCTCGTATTCTTCTAAAGAGTGGATGGGACCCTGCGGGTCATCCAAACCAAGCGTTGCGTCAAAAGCCAGAGCAACGCATGCATTCAGCCAGGGGCTTGTACAGCATGTGTTCAAGCACTTGTGGAGGCCAATGTACACTTACACCGAGCGACCAAAAGAAAGCCTAAATTGCCCCGCGCACCAGTCGCCCCAAGCGCGCGTAGCTGGGGACTACACAAATGTGACGTTTGACTCCGACCCCATTCATGTTCACTCCCCTTCAGGTCCTTCTCGTTTCAGGGGCCAAGGACAACTCTCAATTCGTTTTTCGCTCTGGCAACAAGTTAGCCTTAACCGCTGAATCAGCCAACCAGCCAACCATTTGAAACTGCAATTCCCACCTTGGACCTTTTTGCGCCCAACCTTTTCTCACTTTCTCCCTGGCTCCTCACCACTTCTTCGGTCCCCCCTTTCTTCCCAGGTCCACCAAACCGGTCCCAACCGCCCGCCCCCAACCCCACCAACCGCCGCCCCGTTTCCGGGGCCTCGGAGGTGCCCAGCTCCAGGCGGCAGCACTGGAAGTGCCGCAGCGCCTCGCTGCGGCTGAGCCGCACGCAGCTCCAGCCTCGGCGCTTCGGCGTCGCATGCGCGCCACGCGGCGGTCACGCGCGGTACGCGGCGCATGCGCGTGGGGAGCCCCGGAAGACGGGGCCCCTGGGACCCCGTGCTTTCTTTTTTTTGTGTGGGCTTTAACCCGGCAAAGACATGCGCTGGAGAGGGGGGTCGTTGGGGGAAAAAGGTTGGCTGACCTGGGCAAGAGGATCCACTGCGTGAATAAGAGAGCATGGAAAAGCAGGATTCACCGTATCCCTTGGCTGATATCTCACCTGCTCCGTGCATGTTCCTTCGCAAAGAGCAACGCAATTCGATCTCTTGTACGCACTTGCAACCGAAAGTACCTGGACATGAAAGGTGATCATCTTTGGGGTTGCCCGACTAAGAAATGGAAGACAAAGCAAGCAGAAGGTCAGCAGGTTTATTCGCTTTTAGCAAGCAAGTATGAGTTGCCATGAACTCCACGCTCTGGAATGGGCGCTGTTGTTGCGGCCTACTCAAGGGGGCCATCCTAGTTTGTAAAGAACACCCCAACCTCTAATTCAATGCCCGCGGATTTGCAATGTTTGATCCTTCCAAACAAGCGAACAGGAGGACACTTGGACAAGTCGCATTTGAAGATATCACTATCTCTTTACCATAAAATCGGCAGTGAACCAGGGAGTTGTTGTACACACTTGAGCGCTTAGAGCCATCAAGACTCGCAAAGATACAATGGACCGCAGCCACGTCAGCTCCTCCTAGGCTGATGTTCCCATTTTGGGCACCATGTATTTGCTGGAAAACATCAGTGGGTCTTGAAAAACATCTGGTTGTGACTAGATTAGAGTCGTTGCCAAAACAGCAAACCGATGAACCTCGTTTCGGGGCTCCAGTTGAGAGACAACCTACCATCCCTACAGGACTAGGGTTTTTATGGCTTTAGGGTCTCTTTGTGTGATACGTACTCAGGCAACCCCTTTTAATTCACAAAGTCATGGTATGAAAAAGAAAGATATTTTACACTTTTCACCATCCTGGTAGCTCCGAAAGGCTCCCTCTGAAGCAAACTTGGATACCAGCCCAGCTCACCCTTCCAACCGGCTAGCACCCATCTGGACAGCGAATTCCAATTCGCATTGCTCCACTCAAGAAGGCCACGGCGAGATGGGCAACAAATCCTACCGGAACTTCGTGACAAAGCTGAGCTGCAACAAAAGTCGTGGTACCCTCCCATCCATGACAACCTGACTGGAGGTCGGAAGACCATGTTCCTCTAAAAAAGATCTGGGTTCCATGGACAGGGAATCTAAACCTGGCGATGCATAGAGTCAGTTTCAATCCGGGGCCCGGTGGATATCAGCCCAGCCCGGCTCGCTGCGCGAGCCAAACTTTCGCTACTTGGGGCTTGGCGAAACTGCCAGACTTCCCAAAGGACACAAGGTTGAAGGTCATAAGGGCAACAAAAAACATGGGTCCATTTTGTACTGTCAGTGGACCCCCAATCAAGCTAAAACACAACAGCCGGGCACTTCTGCTTCCCCCGCCATCATGTCAGCAAGAGCCTGTACCTCACTTCCTGAGCCTGAGTGGATGGCCCAAAAAGAAGTCCAAGCTTTTTGTTTGCCACTCAAACGGGCTTCCCCCCAAAAACAACAACAAAGTAACTAAAGTCTATCAACTCAGGAAGTGAGGTATGGACACTATCATCAACCTTTTGTATGTGCCTGGGATCACCTTCAAGAGTTGATCTGAGTTCTCGGGTTTCACATCTCCGGATGGCAAGCGGAAACGCCATTCCTTGAAGCCCCCTGAGACTTTGCCTCAATAATATGTCTGATGACTCTGGCAACCATGTTCAGTGAGCCGGTGAAACAGAATCGCACCAAAATCAATCGAGACCCCAGAAACTCACAAACAACGCATCGCCATAGCAAATGTCTTTCAAGCCGCCAAAATGGAAGAAAAAACAGGGACATCCATATGTTTTTCAAGCCACCGAGACCTCTCAAATCTCTGGGCTTTCGAGTCAAGTCGGAACCCCTGGGCCCTTGGGTTCCGTCCGGGGCTTCCGGGCGCAGGAAGGGCGTCACCTCCAGGCTTCGCCAGCTGCGCACCGAGGCCAGCAGCACTTTGGGCTGCAGGTCTTGCGCCTGGATGTCCAAAAGTCGATGCCGAGGCGACTTTGCTGAAGTGCAAACAACTTGCTGGTTTGAGAGGCAGGGACTTTTGGAAAGACCCTACAAACCATCCAACTGGTGGCTTCCTTTAAGGGGTCCCCAAGGCTCATTCCCTTATTCCCTACTGAGCACAAGAAAAAAAGACACAATGGTAAGCCTGTACAAAAAGCTTCGTAAATGTGTAGAAGATCAATTGCTCGCGCTGACCTTGTCAACAACTGACCATGTTGAAAATTAGGCCATCAACTGGAACAATATCATAACTGTGGTCTGTGCTACGGACAAATCACTACTAGATCTCAATTTGGCATGGACTTTTGTGCTCGGTGTCCTTTGCAATGGAGCGAGTAAGCCTTGCAGACCAGGTTTGTAAGGGGCAACTACTCCAACTGATGTCAAAGTCAGCCCGAAGTGATAGGTTCAAGTGAAACTCACTTTGATGGCCACCAACAACAGTCAACACTGTGACACAAGTCCAATGGCAAAAACATAGTCATTCGCAAATACTCCAATGAATGGACCTTCAATCATGGGTAAACTGCTTTGTGCAGGGTGTTTCCACCAAGATCGACTGAATATAGTTGGCTGCCTTCTGGTATCTCGTGGTGTGTCTTTCCACATCATCCAAAGGTCGCCAAAAGAAGGGGCCCGGATAATACGGCTGCCCATAGTGCGCCATCTCAGAAATCGGTGACCAGTGAATGCACATGGGCCCTGGAGCATCTGAGTCACTTTTAGGGACGACACACATCCCAACAAGCAGGCCCGTTGTTTAAGACACATCCATGTTTGCAACTTAGAGAAACATCGACCTCTTACTGTTTCGCACTTGCTACACACACACACACAGAAGCGACTACCTGGACCCTCAACATGAAGGAACAAAGACAAAACAACGGGTAATTGCCCCAAATCTATGGTTGATAAACGCGTAGTTTGAGGGTCCAGCTACCCAACATATGCAAAAACACCCAACCAACACCATAAGTTCGACCCGCGTGGCCGACAACAACAGCACCCCCCAAAAAGCTGACTGCAAAAGCAGCCCGGGCGCCTTCTTTGGGCGCAGGTCCACTTGCGTGGAGTTGATGCGCAAGCAGAACTCAGCAATTCGGCGACCGGCGACCGGCGAGCGAATTCGGAAGTCGAGCGAATCCGTTTGACTAGCTTGCTGGTGCGAGCGGTAGAGAATAACCCAGGGGATTTTGTGGGTCCGGCGAAAAATCCACTGTTTCCCTACTTAAAACTGAATGATCCCACCTAAATAGCCATAAAGATTCCAACAATCATAAAATAGCCGGGGATGTTCCGATGAACAAACATGCTCGATTGAAAACAACAGATGTCCCTTTGGTAAGTGATGCAGCAATTGAAGCACACTAAGTTGAGATTGGAGTCCATCTTCAACCAAGCTGACCAAAAATATAGACCTCTAGATTGTTCGATGTGCGATTGCGCGCTGTCGGTCTTGTTTGTTTCGTTGGAGCGGGCGAGACTGCGGGGTGTTGTCTTTGCGGTCTTTTGCTTGAAAGCTCAGGTCATGCATGGTATTGGTTGGCATTGGTTGGCACTGATTGGTATTGGTATTGCCACATCCAGGGTCTGACAAAAGTGAAACCCAAATGAAATCTGACAGGCCCCTTGGCAAATGTGCCACAGGGCACCTTCCCACAGTTCCGTTATTTTGGCGGGTATCAGGTCCCGTGCTGTCCGTCTCAAATATGAACACAAGGCTGAGTCCATGTAGAATAGGTGCTATTTAGACTCACTTCCTCTGTGGACTGGCCCAAAAAAGTATTCACTTGTTTGTTTACCACGAAGATGGTCTTCGCAAAAGTGACTAAAGCCCAGCAATTCATGGAGTGAGTAGACCTGGCAAGCTGGCAGTTCCACATCCATGATGACCTCCTTGATGGCAACGCTATCGTCGAGCTTGCCAAGGAAGACGGTGTCCATGTCGACACGTCCCAATAAACGAGTGGAGAACTTGTTGGTCGTCACACATCTGTCAGCGAGTGCTCCTGACATGGGTCGGCATTTGCAAGTCGTCGAGCAAGCTTCTGGATCACCCGCGCAGCTTCCGTTTGCTGCCCTGCTGTGCAGGTTTGCTTCCTCGCGTTGGAGGTCCAAAAGAAACACGGTGGAAACCTGGAAGGCAGCTATTCGCCATTATAGACGTAGGTTTATCTTGTACCTTTCGGGGGGGCGGGGGGGGCAGGAGCTTCATTTATGGGCGTCTTTTAAGACCCCCACAAATGAGTGATGTGCTTTTGCTTTCGCTGTAAAACCAACCAAAAAGGGTTATCCGCAAAAAGACAGACACCCGTATCTTGTTTTCTCATCTTTCGTTACGGGGGATCCTTCACGCTTATGTTTCCCACCTTTGCGGCGGGGTGGTTCTCATTTGTGCAGGAGCAAATATGGAGATCGACGGGCCTCTTCGCTGTCATTGTTGAAGCGGCGCAGCCTGACCTACGCGCATGCACGTCAACCGCTGGACAGCTGGACAGCAATGGCTCAGTTCAGACATGGCTGGAGAGTCAAGCCACCTCCAAACCATCGGGACAAAATTGGGCAGGGGAATGCCTGATACATGCAAAACACACTGGTTCCAACAAGACCTCGTTGTTCTAATGATCTGTTGGACATCTTGGTGGTGCTCAAAGGTTATTTTATTGCTTTTCGAAATGCATCCCAAAAGGTGTCGAACTAGTTTCCACACATAGCTGACTGAAAGACTGCCATTCAAACTATTTATTTGATCCATGGGCATTAGCTTGACCTGATGATCTTGGTCAAGAACGCCGGTGCAACAAGAACTGGATTGGAGCTTGGAGCCTAAAGAAGCCAATGGACCACGCATATGTGGACTTCATCAAAACGTGACAAGAGCAAGGCGAGCTCACGCTTTCCACTGTTCACCTTCACATACAAGTGTAATTAAGATAAGCAAAAGGAGCTTTGCTGGTGATACCGGCAATTCACAAATGCCTGATAGCTTCCAAAATGGGCCAGTGCAAAGTTTGCACAGGGCCCTTCGCGCAATGCAATGGGCAAACGTATCTAGGTCTGTGGGATGGCTGTAAAGACAAACCAACCACGGAGTCCAATCACCTAGAGGGGAACATATAACCCCAAATTTTGAGAAACGACCATCCCGGACCGCGGATGAATACTTTGCTGGCTTTTCTGGGGTGCAAATGGCATATGATGTTTCTGTCTTGTCGCCTCCGGCACGCGTACCAGGGAACGACCTTCCGGGTTCTGGGAATGTGGGAATGAACCTAGGCATCCTCGACAAGGAAAAGCCACATGAGATGCTTCATCGGGGGACTGTTCCCTTGAGAACCGCCGAGTCCGGTTTTAGACCGACGCTCTCTGCCCGACGCCTTGACGCCATCCAAGGCTACACTCAGCGTCTCCGCGGTGCGCTCAGGCTGGGCCTGCGGGCCAAACGACCACAGAAGCGAGGACGCGTGAGAGCTGCTTTCGGGGGCCGTTGGCTCATACTTGATTGAATGCACACGCATGTATATGCTTACAATTGCATGAGCGCCTGTACACAAACTATGGTCTGTGTGGCTATCTGTAGCAAATGATATGCATGTAATATGTAAACCCGTGGGTTAGAAGCAATATACTCTGTTGATGCCTTGCGTTGCTTCAACGCATGGCCGCTTGTGGCCGCTGGAAAACAATTGCACTGGCCTGCTACATCTGGAACACATGGCTTCACAATAAGGTAGTCAAAACTGGGGGAAAACAAAAACAAGGCAAACAAAACAAATGACGACCAGCAGCAACAAACACATAGAAACAACAACTCAAAACAGCAGCAAGTTGTAAGTTGCATAGGCCCCACCTCACAGATGAGGGGCTCAGCCAGCGCCAGGGTCAAGCCACCCAGCCTTGGGATGACATGAGACCATACAGCCGAGGCCTTTGGAAAAAAGATAGCCGGCAAGAAAACCTTGGCAAGCCTTAGGCTAGTTACACCATGAGACGAGTCACAGCTTTCTGGAAGCCCATACGTGGGGCATCCCATTGCGAGCTGCAACATGGAACCCAAGTGACCATCATGTGTAGACGGATCTCCTTTGAACAAAAACCATTCTTGGATGTTCAAAACCGTTAAACCTACTTGGGATTTCAACTAGAACTAAACGCGAACCAACCTCGTGTCCCTCTGACCCCGGTTGTCAACTCGAAAAGTGTGTTCGCAAATGGAAAATGGTGATCGCCTTGTGTGGTTGTTCTTGACTCAAAAAGTTGCCAAACAAACAACAAACATCATGCAAACTGTCAAAGGATCGGGTATGACGAGCTGGGTGTCAACATGGGGATAAACAGCATTTCTGATGGTACAATGTCAATCGAGAGAAAAGGGACGGGGAAGCACAGTGGTCCTCAGCAATGTCAACATACCGGAAGAGCCAATTGTGCAGTAGTTTTTTGTGCACATTTCCGAGCCGCTAATGTTCAGCTGCATCTCGGCGTTAGCCACTTATGGATTGAGATGTGAAGACCCTTTTTCCTGGCCGCACAAAGCGGGCCCAAATGTTTCCAACCCGGACAACTATACAAAGACACAGTAGAGGGGCACCGTTTGGGTGAGACGTAGTGTTTTGTTGGACCACTTCAGGCTTGAAGGACAGTTGGGCGTGTCTTTTGGTAGTGGTACCCGTACCCTTTTGGGGGTAGGGGAGACCAAAGGACAACCAACATATGGCTTGAAGGCTTGGAGGTATAACCCTTTTACCAGAAACCACCCGAAAACCGCCGGCCAAGTTGTTTAGATGTTGGTTTTGTTTCCTGTTTGGTCAAGGCTCTAATCACATTTCGGTATGTTGTTCGTGGATGCGGTACCCTTTTTTGTTGGATGTTTAAAAGGGAAACCAAAGGAACGACAACAATTACTTTTCTTCGGGACCAATCATTGAGAGGACCGCCCCTTAAGGCTCAGAGGGGGTTGGCTGTGTCTATGCACCGGAATCGACCACCCGCCCCATCCTCCCGCCCCATCCGCTCCGCCGGGGTGCTGCAGTTCTACGGTGCTCTCCAACGAGCCGAGCACTTCCGGATTCACCTCCTGCGCCGCAGCGGGTGAGAGCGGGGATGGGCCCAAAAAACACGAGGCCTTTTTCTGCCACCGCAACATTTGTTCGGCTCTCAACAAGGGGTCGCTGTTTATTTTGTGTTTTCCAAAAATTGATCAATTGTCTGGAGGGTGCCACTGAAACTGGCAATTTTAGAAGTCCGAAAAAGAGGAAGTTAAAGGACCCCTGTAACAACCAGAAACTCGGGTTGTTCAAAAGGTTTGGCTTGCCGAAGCCTGTTTTCCATGACTGCGGGGAAACCTTGACTGTGCTGGATACACCAAAACCTCTACAGAGAGATTGTATATGCTTTTGACGTCTGGCTTGTAAACCCAATCCGGGTTTTCACCTTCCCGATTACTGCTAAGGAGGGTAAGCTAATTCCGATATTGAAAAGCAACAGGAAAGGGGGAGGAAACATCCTTCCACACCCATTGCAAGGATGAGGCAGCCTTCTTACATGTGCAGATATAAGCACCGCGGAATGTTTCACGGCCTTTTGCCGACTTTCCTTTTTCCTCCTCTACAATACAGCATCATACTTCTATGTAAGCCTGAAGCAGCCCGTTGATTTCGCTTCATTGCGCCGGCAACCGGCTCTTGCATTCTTTTGCTCATAGTGCTCGCCCCTTGCCAGGAAGCAACTGAACAACGAACGCAGCAAGTAGCCACTAACACATAAGCGACCAACAGACGAAAATCGCAGGCGCCCTTATATGCACCTTTTGAAGGATGACTCAAACTGCGTCTCGTTCTTGTTTCATTAGGGTAGTTGTTTTTTTGGGTTGTGCCTTCTTATGAGCAAAGAACGATCTGACATTTTTGGATGGTTTGCGGGTCTCAAAACATGGGGGGGGGGTTGAGGATTCGCCTGGTGTGTGTTTCAGACAAAGTTAGGGCAGATACACTTCATTTTAGATTTGGAGCCGGTGTTGGCTGGGTTGGGTTTAGCGAAGCCTTGGGTCAGGATTGAGCCTTGACGATTGTTGTATGACGTTGTCCCTTATGAACTTGAATGTTGAGTGTGGCAACAAGCCACTGCGCGGCTACCCAGTGGGCTTCGGAGAGCAAATGTGCAGTGTTGTGGCCGCAAAATGTCAAAAAGTTGCTGGACACCGCGAGCAGTCGAAAAGACAGAAAATTGCGGAAAACCGAGAAGCCGAGAAATCGCAAAACACCGAACAGCTACCAAACGTCCAAAAGCCGCGAAGAGTCGCAAAGTCCAAAAGTCGCCTTGCGCTGAGGAGCCGAGCGCCGAGCACCTGTCACGCCGACAGCCAAACATGTCACGTGGAAATCACATACGACGGCTTTTCATGTAAAGTCACCAGATCAGGGCACTCTTTTTGACAGTTCAATTTTGCGGTCGAATGCCTTGTCTTTCATTTTGGTCTAGGCATGCAGGTCAGCCAAGATTCCCTGGCTCTCCATTTTGTGGTTGGAGGAGATTTCTTTTAGGGTCGAGATTTAATTTGGATTTTTTTGTTTTATTTTGGGATTTTTCTTGCTTTCCGTCCTGGCTACTAAAATGCTGTAATTTAAAGCATTTTCTAGCGAGATGTGCGTATTTTACGCTAGTCCGTCAACATCATCAGCATCGTTTTCAACATCCCCCGCATTTGGCTTCCTGCATCTTCAGCATCATCAGTTCCTCTGCGGCAAGGTAGGGGGGGCGGCAGCCCCGCCATGATGATTGAAAAAGTGATGATTCAATTAGGGGTGCATTTTAAACTCTGCCAAAATCCAAAAAGTAGCGGGGGTGTTTAGGGGGGGGGCTGCCCCCATGGTGATCGAAAAAGTGATGATTCAATTAGGGGCAAAGAATCTAAAAGTAGCTGTCGCATGATGATCGAAAAATGATGATTCAATTAGGCGTGCATTTTAATCGAAAGGGGGGTGGCGGGGGGCACCAGAGAGGAACTTGCGATGCTGGATGCAGGGTGCCTTGGAGGCAGCAATTAGCTCCAGTACTACGGAAATTCCTTGTCAACACCCATTGGCTATTCTGTCAAGCTAGTAATATGTCCAAGCGAGCTATCTGTCAAGTTGCTTACATGTCAAGCTAGCGTTCAATAGGGGTACATCAAGTGAGTCCCCCATGTCCTTCCCAAATCAATCGCAGAATGCCAGCTAGTGGGAGCATACCTCATGCGGGTACTTGCTAAAATTGTATGAATAACCCGAAACCTGCGATATCAAAGTTCCCATCACTTTCAAGCCCCCTCATCATCTCGCTATCACAGGACAAGGCAACCTAAATCCCAATCTCCCGTACCCATGGTTGATAGGGATGGGAAGGCCTGTCATGAAATCTCACAGCGGCCTTGCCTGCTGCAAGAATCAAGTCATTGCATGCTCTCTCAATGCACAGCACCTCATGGACTGAGCGAACGCAAAATGCTCCCACAAAGCATGCAAGGCTATACGGCAACGCACGCAAAGTTGCTGACAAGTCACCTTCCTTTTCAAATGAACACGCTGGGCTTTCATATCCTGCAGCTTGCTTTGGGCTCTTGCCTGTGCAGGGGCGACAAAGGGCCCTTGAGGTGCGCTTGAGGTCATTGCGAATGGGTTGTCCTTGCATGGCGGTGCCCAGCTGGCTGTCGACACCAAGTTGGTCGCCGTGCGGGGCGAACGCGGGGCGCCGCTCTTGTTGAGGCGCGGTTGCGGAAGCGTGTCTATCCCGAACTGCTGCGGTCCAACCGTTGCCGGTTGGTCGTCCTCGCGCTCAAGGTCGGTGGCCGCTAGCGGGGAGGCCAAGGCCAAAAACCAACTGGGAAAGCAGAGGATGCCAAAAGCCAAAGCCAGAAAGCCGCCAAAAGCCACAAAGCAAAAAAGCTAGCTGCCGCAGCGGAACTGGCAATGCAGAGGATGCGAAAAGACAAACAGAGAGGAACTGTGAATGCAGAGGATGCGAAATGAAAAAGCCACAAAAGCCACAAACCCACGAAAAAGCCACAAAAGCCAAAAGCCGAAAAGCCACCCGCCGTGAAAAAATCCTTTAAAACGAAAAACATTAAAAAAATGGCCCTCCTTTCTTTATTTCGACTTTTGATAGTCGAGGCTGTAAAGGCATAGTCAAGCGAGCGCAGGGTGAGCCGGGGCAAACTGCTGGCCTTGCGCTGGTCATGAAGCTCTTTTACACTCTGTGGCACTTTGGCACGCAGCCGGCGGCCGTTTTCAGAATGGTGAGAAACTTTTGGAACTTTTGGCTGGGGCCGACGCGGAGACCAGGCTTAGCGGCTTCCCGGAGGAAAACTTGAAGAAACACCGCTACCAGCCTCTGCAGCGTGAAATCCGAATAGCAGGCTGCTGCCCGCACCCTGCGCTCCAAGCAGCTGACAGCTTCTTTTTCCTCTTCTCCATGTAGCGGCGCGGGCTGCTGCGTGGAAAGCCTATTGCAGCTAGTGTTTGTGTGGACGCCTCTGGTCCATTGCCGACAAGGCGCGCTGGGCGGCAAGGGCGAAGACTTGGTCGGCGAGGCCAAGGGCGGGAGGCGGGCGCAGGCGGCGGGCCCAAAGCGCGCGTGCTCCAGCGCGCGCGAGCGGGGCAACAAGCTCGCACCAAGACCGCCACCGCGCTCTCTGACAACGGCTTGGGCCAGTATATGAATGGCCTCAAACAAGACGGGCCTGGGCCAGCATCAAGTTCGCCCGCCCCGCTGCCGCGCCTCTGTCGGCTGTCCTCCTGACCCTTGCCCCGCCACGAGCGGTGCAGCGTGGCCAGCTTCTTCTTCGCCATGCCCCTCCGTCACACTGCTTCTGTGGCTTGGTTGCCTTCACTGAAAAGCTGCAGGAGTGACTTGCTTCCTTGTGCCGGGAAGGACTGCTTTGTCCACCAACTCAGCAGCTTGTATGGAAGCAAGGTTTTGTCCGGCCTGCGCCTTCCTCGCTCCAACCCGGGTCATGTCGCCACCAGCTGGCTCAAAGGGACTAATATGCCAAATGGACAACTGTCTGTTAGTCGGCTTTCCATGCCTCTATCCACATTCAATCAGCAATCTAGAGGAAGTCAGCCTCACCCGTTTCATCACATAAGACCAATGAAAGGCAAGGCCCTCGGCCGCAAAATTGAGATGTCAAAAAGAGCTGATCAGGTGACCACGAAAAACCGTCGTATGTGATTTCCGCGTGACATCTTTAGTTGCCAGTGATATAGCAGAAGACATGTTCCTGACCATGCACCACTGCTATCCTTGAAAGCGTATTTTTCTGTGTGTTTGGCAAAGGATTGAACATAAGTTCTGCAACAACTTTTCAGCAGTTGGCACAAGAAATCGACAGCCCGCAGAATCCCCAGCTTCAAAATAAACCACATGCTCTGGAGAAAGGCATGACTGTGGACAAACCATGGACAATCCGTGGAAAGAACATTAAACAAACACAGGCGTGGAAAGGCGATGAAAAGGCGTGGATGGGCACTGTAGTGTAATATGCGGGGCACCCTTGAATTGAAATTGGCCCAACCACTATACATATTACAGACACGAAAGGTAGGTACCGTATAGTGATTCCCCTAAACACTGGAACGTGCCCGAGACAAAGTCTGGAGGTGTTGGTGCTAAAACTGAAGTACCCCCAGCACCGTACAATTGTGCATAGCCCACTTTGAAGCAGACGTGCACTGAGTGTCCCATATCAACTTGACTGGGAGGACCGGCCTTGAAACACAAGAGCAAACCGGTGCGAAAAGCGGAGCGAAGTGTGAAGCGAAGTGAGCGAAGCGAGAAGACCTGAAAAGGAGCGAAGCTGCCAATCAGGCAGGGGGGCCAGAGGGCAGACCAGGGGGGAGTCGAAGGGGGGGGGATATTTAATTGGTTTTGCTGCCAGGCCGACCACATTTCGTGATTTGGCGCCTGGTTCCGAGTACTTCAAAAATCACACTTCTGATACCTAGGTGATCCTAAGTGTTCCATGGTGTTCCAAAGGCAGTCTAAAGTGTGGTCGAGGTAGCTCAAACATAAGATGGTTAGAGGTGTGTGTGTGTGTGTGTG